AAAAAAAAAACAACTCATGAACAATTTGTGAATTTTATGAAATGTATGCCTGCTTTATCCCTAAGTATATATATGTGAGTGTGTGTATAAACATGGGACTCTATGCCTCACACCCCCAGGAGACATTAATTTGCTCTTGCCTATGTTGCATATACTTTGTTTAGTGTAACTGTTTTTCATGCAGTGACCGCAATTACACAATACACATCCCAGCCTGCCACATTCTCTCACCTGTGTTCTACTCCAGGTGCCCTCTGGGAGGCAGGATTTGACGTCTTCCTGAGCAACTTGGAAAGTGTTGCAGCCAAGCATATGACAAGATGATCTAGCTCTTTCCTTGGAGAGTCTATTTAGGAAGCATTAGCATATGAATAACTTGGAAGGTCCCTGTTTCCCACCCCCAACCCCCCGCTATTAACCCTACTCAGGGCAAGGTCCGGCTGCGCTGGCACCTTCGCCTTGAAGCCTGCTTTTGTCAGTCCACCTCATGGTGATCTGCTCTTGCAATGTTTGAACTCTGATGGAGAAGTGATGAGGAAAAGTTACTCCACCAGAATTCCCACTTCCAAAATAATTCTGAAAGAATACTTTGAGAATGTTAGACTGAAAATGAGACCCAAAGTGCATATCAGAGATGGCCGCTGCAGTGCCTTCCAGGGAGGTTGGAACCTGTTACCTGGCAAGCCCATAGTCTTGCATAGTACACAGTGGTAAGTTTGGGACTGTGGGTTTGGGGGACAGCCGCTGCCACAGTGCTGAGGCTCTTTTCATTATAGAAGGGAGAGGCATTTGAAGCGCCCCATGAGAAGAAATCTCAGAGTGAGGGGGAAAAATGCCAGAAAGGCCGATACAGGTTAGTGGAAAGATGAGAGACAACATGCCAGCAGTTTTATGGCTGAGAAGTAACTGGAGAACAAGAAGGGTTGGGTGACATGTTCCAGTTGTTGGCAGAGGAGCATGTGGGACAGCCCCCTGGACATCTCCATTACCTGATGCTCGCCAAAGCTTACCTTACTCACTACTGCTGTGGTCTCAACTCTAGGAAGACATCTGGGTTGCCTCAGGGGATAGAGACAGCATGGGTACAGACATCTGGAAGATGAGGGGATGTCATCTGCATTCCTCCTCTCTTTTTTGAGAGAGAGTCTTGCTCTGTTGCCCAGGCTGGAGTGCAGTGGCATGATCTCAGCTCACTGCAACCTCTGCCTCCTTGGTTCAAGCCATTCTCCTGCCTCAGCCTCCCAAGCAGCTGGGATTACAGGTGTCCGCCATCATGCCTGGCTAATTTTTCTATTTCTGTAGAGATGGGGTTTCACCATGTTGGCCAGGCTGGTCTTGAACTCCTGACCTCAGGTGATCTGCAGGCCTCAGCCTCTGAAAGTGCTGGGATTACAGGCTGTGCCTGGCTATCTGTGTTCATCTTGAGTGAAGCTAACTCTGTGTGTGTGTGTGTGTGTGTGTGTGTGTGTGTGTGTGTGTGTGCGCGCGCGCTTGCAGGTGAATGCTGCTCCTCTGGTAAAGCTCCATATTCTAAGTATAAGGCCTGGTCTTAGAAATAGAGGAGGAGGCTGGGTGCAGTAATCCCAACATTTTGGGAGGCTGAGGTGGGCAAATCACCTGAGGTCAGGAGTTTGAGACCAACCTGGCTAACATGGTGAAACCCCGTCTCTACTAAAGATACAAAAAATTAGCAGGGTGTGGTGACAGGCACCTGAAATTCCAGCTACTCAGGAGGCTCAGGCAGGAGAATTTCTTTTAACTAGGGAGGCAGAAGCTGCAGCAAGCCAAGATCATGCCATTGCACTCCAGCCTGGGCAACAAGGGCAAAACTCTGTCAAAAAAAAAAAAAAAAGAAAGAAAGAGAAAGGAGGGAGAGATAGAGGGAAGGAGAGACGGAGGGAGGGAGGAAGGAAGGAAAAAAAAAGAAAAGGAAAGAAAAGAAGTAGAGGAGGAGACAAATGAGATGCATAAACACAAGGAACACAGTTAAAGACCCAGGTCGGTATGTAGCCTGGTGTGAATAGTTGGAGAAGGGAAGCATTTTCTTCTTTGCACTTAGTAGGTTCTCATTAACTACAGACTGATAGTGGTTGTCACTACTCTTGCTAAACAATGTCCCAGATTTCCCTCTCACAAGGGAGTGCATGAGTGGGCATACTAGCCTACTCCCTGCAGGGAAGCCCAGCCCTCTCTGTTGCTAGGTTTCTATTCAGAAGTTGCTATCTGATTCGGTTGGCAGTTTAAAAAATAAGCCAGAGGTCTACAAATCAACTCAGATTTGAAGTCTGCAGAGACAGCCAGGGTCCCAGTAAAAGCTGGCAGCACCTTGTAATGAAACATTTATTAGAATTGTGGTTTTGCAAATGACAAATCAATTTAGAGTAATGTTTCTTCTAACATTACTGGATGCGGAAGCGCAGCTGGGTTTCACACTCATCACAGGCTGACATTTCCTTGAACCGCCTAACTTCAGCCTTGCATTGTGTAGCAAATGTGTGACACAAATGTAGCAGAACGAAATGCTCCTGCAAGGGCACAAACTGCTCTAACAAGGCCAGTGCAGCAGCCCGTGCCCATCCAACAAAAATAAAGCATCAGCAGAGTCAGGAAAACAGAACTCATAATTGAACTGAGATGAGCACAAGAGTCAGGTTTTGTAAGATCATCCCAAAGTGGACACAGCTAATGGTTTTATCATTTCTTCTCAAATAAGGGCTGAATGGTTGAGTGGGAAGCCTTGGGAGGCTGGTAGCAATGAGAGAAAGGTCATAGACACACAGAACTGCCAAGCAGCGATCACAGGTGCTCTTGTTGAAGACTTTTTTTTTAAGGCTTGAGAAATGAACGGAGGGACAAGCAAGAAAACAAAAACAGGATGGAGGTAACTTCTTTTTCACAGAGAAACCCTAAAGCCGTGGAAAATCTGTTCTCCATGACAGCATTCGACTCTGAATCCTTATCAGGGACTGTGGCTTTTGCATGTGTGGATTACACCTGCTTGGTACCTAGCACGGTGCCTCACTTGTGGAAGTTACCTGGCGCAGTGCGTCAGACTGTTTTAACTTCATTCATGTTCTGTTCTTTCTTTCTTTCCAATCCTTGGTTCCCAGTGAATATAGTTTTGGTTTAACGCAATCCTAGCACCTGATTAGAAGTGGACAGGCAAGACCGGGCACGGCGGCTCACACCTGTAATCCCGGCATTTTGGGAGGCTGAGGCAGGTGGATCATGAGGTCAGGAGTTAGAGACCAGCCTGACCAATATAGTGAAACCCTGTCTCTACTAGAAATACAAAAATGAGCCAGGTGTGGTGGCATGTGCCTGTAATCCCAGCTACTCAAGAGGCTGAGGCAGGAGAATTGCTTAAACCCGGGAGACAGAGGTTGCAGTGAGCCCAGATCGTGTCACTGCACTCCAGCCTGGGTAAAAGAGCAAGATTCTGCCTCAGAAAAAAAGAAAAAAGATGAAGCAGTGGACAGGCAAGCAGAAAAGACAGAATTGTGTAAAGCAGAATCAGTATAATTAGTAAATTCCAGACTGTCACTTCTAGTCAAGATAGGGTGTCTAAAAACTAGGACAAAATACCCAAAACAATGATTTTCAGATATTGGACATCAGGCAGTGCGGGACAATGACCCCTGAGCTAGGGGACACCAACAGGATGAGGCCTGCTTGCCCAGCTCACTTCCTAAAAAGGGGGGAACCAGAAGCAGATGGTTCAGGAGATGGTCCTGGGAGTATGTGGAGGCCAAAGGGGCTGGAGTTTGCAGGGCAGGGAACGGCAGAGATGTGAGTTACATAGAGAGAGCATCAGAGACTTGCTAAGGGGCCCCCCAGCCAGCGGCTGAGCAGTGATAGGCGTAGGCATGTCATGTGACTACCCAAGGCTGGGAAAAGAGCCAAAAAGTCGCAAAAGAATTACAGAGACAGATCACTTGAACTCACAGGCCCAGCAACAGTTTGTGATCCAGAGTGGAAAATCTCATAATTCACACCACGTCAGGCAGAATACTTAATGGTATTGTCTCTGCAAAGGGGAATTTTTTTTTTTTGAGATGGAGCCTCTGTCACCAGGCTGGAGTGCAGTGGCACAATCTGGGCTCACTGCAACCTCTGCCTCCTGGGTTCAAGCAATTCTCCTGCCTCAGCCTCCTAAGTAGCTGGGACTACAGATGCGCACCATCACACCCAGCTAATTTTTATATTTGTTTTAGTAGAGACAGGGTTTCACTATGTTGGCCAGGATGGTCTTGATCTCTTGACCCCGTGATCCACCTGCCTTGCCTTCCAAAGTGCTGGTTTAATAGGTGTGAGCCACTGGGCCTGGCTTGCAGTGGCGAAACTTTATAACAAGGTCTACTTTGATCCAGCCAACAAAGCTTCCAGGTATGCTACAAAAGGATTGAACTTTTTTCAAGTAACTAAATGGCATTCCAGAACAAAGCTCAAAAACATCCATTGTAACAGTAAGTAACTATCCAGCACCTAACAAAGTAAAATTCATAGCAAATGTGTTTGTAATAGCCAAAAAATGAAAACAAGACAAATGTCCATCAACAGGTGAAACGGTAAACAAATTGCAGTATAATCCACACAATGGAATAGTATGCAGTGACAAAAAGGAACAAACTACTAATACACGCAACAAAATTGATGAATCTCAAAATAATTACACTGAACAAAAGAAGGCCAGGCTAGAAACAAAAACAAATAAGAATACTTATGTTATTTTCCCATTTATACAAAATGTTTGAATATTCAAGCTAATCAGTAGGGACAGAAAGCAGATCATTGGCTGACTTGGGATTCTGTGTCTGGGAGGGGAATTACCAAGGCAAGGAGGAAAATTTGAAGATTTTGAATATGTTCATGACTGGATTGTGGTGACAGTTTCACATGCATATGCACACATTGTTAAATCTTATAAAATTGTTTAAACACATACAGTTTATTTTGTGTTGGTTTCATCTTATTAAAGCTTTTTTTTTTTTTTGAGACAGAGTCTTGCTCTGTTGCCAGGTGCCAGGCTGGATTGGCTCGCTGCAACCTCTTGGGTTCAAGCAATTCTCCTGCCTCAGCCTCCTGAGTAGCTGGGACTACAGGCACGCACCACCACACCCAGCTAATTTTTGTATTTTAGTAGACATGGGATTTCACTATGTTGGCCAGGATGGTCTCAATCTCTTGACCTTGTGATCTGCCCGCCTTCACCTCCTAAAGTGTTGGGATTACAGGCGTGAGCCACCTCGCCTGGCCAAAGATTTTTATAAGGTAAGTTCCTCTCCTATTTCCTTTTTTAATGGAAATGCTTAAGTTTTTGGACAAATACTGCTTTCATTTTCTGATTTTCACACCAATACCATGAATTCAGGAGATGAAATGTTGCTGTTTCCTATTTAGAGAATGAGGCTAATCTCCCAGAGGTGAGCTGGTTTGTTCAAGTTCACACGGCTTGGCTTGACAATGGTGGTAGAATCACAGTCACAGTTCAGGTTTTCTGACTCGTGGAGCAATCACAGTGGCTTCTCTGCTTAGTTACAAGTCTCAGGGGGAACATTGCAATTGGCCTGTCAGAGATTCTGTTTTCATCAGCCACAATGCAGCCAATAAATCTCCAAGATCGTTGTACTTTCACGGGTTACTAGATTTGAAATAAAACCAAAGTTGCAAGTGACAGTTTGAAGGAATTTTCAATCACAAAATGCAAAGTGTGTTGCACTCCAGCCACCCTGGATGAGTTATTGGCCAGTTTATTGATCATGTTGGGTAATCACTGTAATCCCTAGAGCTCTCAGATGGAGACATGTATAATGTAGCACATGTAGTTCCCAATAAAAGCAGAAGTCCATGAAAGGAAGTTTTCCTTGTGAGTAACACACTCGCCTTAGAAAGTCTCAAATTACTATTAGATCAAAACATACGGCTGTGTTTTCTCTCCAAATATATCTTTGAGTTTTTCTTTTATCTCAAATATGTCCAGCAACCAGAGAAGGACACAGATTGCTCCACAGTTCCAAGCTCCGCACAGTAGGATTTGAATACATGAAAAATAACCCCATGCAATTCTATTTCCTTGCTTTATGTCTCACCAGCCAGTGCCTTGGGCAAGACTTTCATCTGAGCACCAATTTTTACATTCTGTCTAAGGGCAGATAATGTTTATATATGGAACAGTGTTGGTCTTCCAATCCAAGTCTTTCTAAGAAATGAAGAAATGTGTACAGGTGATCATTCAAATTGTTGCTTTTATTTTTAATTTCCTACTCTATACTGTTATTCTCAAAATTTCTGAGCTACACAAAATTTTCATTCCTTTTTTGTGTTTTCAGCTGGATTCCTGTCTGCAGTAACATTTTCTCATCTCCAGGCAAACTGGATTACACCTCACCCCTCTCTGGTCACCCTGCCTGAGTCTGGCCTCAGCCCTGACCCATCCAGGTGCTCTCCTTACCCCTCATTGGGATTTACCCAGAATCACAGATTCCATTTCATGGGCTCTTCTTTCAAGCTCCATTTTAAACCTTTTACAAATTTTCTCTGATTACTTAATGAATGCATTTAGCTCTTTCTACCTTCTCACATTATTGGAAGTGCAAGTTTTCTATTTGTTTATAAATTTGTACCTTTTGCTATCTTTTTTCTTTTTGAGATGAAGTCTCGCTCCATCGCCTGGGCTGGAGTGCAGTGGCACGATCTCCGCTCACTGCAACCTCTGTCCTCCAGGTTCAAGTGATTCTCCTGCCTCAGCCTCCCAAGTAGTTGAAACTACAGGCCATAGCCACCACACCCAGCTAATTTTTGTATTTTTAGTAGAGATGGGGTTTCACCATACTGGCCAGGCTGGTCTCAAACTCCTAACCTTGTGATCCATCCACCTTGGCCTCCCGAAGTGCTGGGATTACAGGCATGAGCCACCGCACCTGGCCCTTACTATCATCGTCTAAGTACATATCTATTTCCTTCACTTGACAATCGGCACTTGAAGGCAGTATTAGATTTTACTCAAGTTTATAGATTATATGAAACCTCTCATCTGGGCAATTCAGTAATATGCAGCAGATACAAAGAGTGTGAGGGAAAAGAAGATAGACAGAGCTCACAGCTGTGTGCCCATGCTTTGAATTAAGAGGCAGCAGACATGCTGTCTTAACCACAGAAGTGCCCCCTGCACCCCTCACCAATCCCGTCCTCTCCCTCTTCCCTTAGCCGTAACCATTAGCTTATACTGTTGGCTCATGATGCCCAGCCTCTTCCACACATTTTTACTGTGTATTTTCATCTCTCCAACTATTTTTTTTTCTGAGACAGAGTTTCAGTCAGTTGCCCAGGCTGGAGTGCAGTGGCTTTGATCTTGGCTCGCTGCAACCTCTACCTCCTGGGTGCAAGCAATTCTCTTGCCTCAGCCTCCCAAGTAGCTGGTATTACAGGCATGCACCACCATGCCTTGCTAATTTTTGTATTTTTAGTAGAGATGGGTTTTCTCCTTTTGACCGGGCTGGTCTTGAACTCCTGACCTCGGATGATCTGTCCACCTGGGCCTCCCAAAGTGCTGGGATTATAGGCATGAGCCACCATGCCTGGCCCATCTCTCCAACTATTATGCCATTAAATCCTGTCTGCTTTTAAACTGTATGTAAAAATGGGGCCATGCTGCATGTATTCTGTAGTGACTGGCTTTTTTTTTTCTAATTCAAAATATTGTCCTTAAGATTCTTGCATGTTGCTGCTTGCAGCACACTCAGGCCATTGAACTGCAAGTTACTGCTGCTGCCAGGACACTCTGGACAAGCAGGCAAATAGAGGAATCACCTGAAGGCTGAGAGGAGCTACCCACCGCGGCAGGAGGAACAGGATGGAACTCAGGTGATCCACGGAGGCACTTGGGCATCCTCTCTTGCCATCTGAGTAGTGAGCAGACACAGGAGGCAGCCTTGAACTGAGAAGGAGTGACTGCCAAGCTGCAGCCTTCTCAGTAGTGAAGTTTGGCCGTACCACCAGGCAAGCCAGCAGGTGAACAGAGGTGGTAGTTGAAGGGGAGGAGAATGCAGAATGGAGAGTCAAGAAAGAGCTGAACGGCAGTGTTGGGGCCATACCACCAGCTCCCCGCTGTCAGTTTCCCCCCGGGAGAAGGGGGCTCTAGGGGGCCAGCACAGCTGCATCTGTGCAGTATGAGGAGTGAGCCAAGGAGCCTGGGGAAACGTCTCTCAGAGTTGTAATTGTCCAGCACCCCACTGCTGAGCTCTGAACCCCATTGCTGCAAGCACCCCAGGGGTGCTTCCTGGGGGGTCCTCTACCCATGATGGAGCTTGGCAGGGACACTAAGGCAGGCCTGCTCCCAGGAGACGGGGGCCACCTTAAATGCATGGCTACGGCCTGGAGCCTCCTCAATGGCTTCTCAAATTTTCACCAGCACCGCCCTACTGTTTCCCACCCAAATTCCTTCCTTCCCTCTCTCCTTCCCTTGTAATCAGACCTGCGCCGTGGCCTGCCACCTCCCAGCCTCTCAGCTCCGCCCATTCTCTCTCACAGGTGCTTCCCCAAATAATGTTCTTGCAGATGTTTTCCCACCTTGATGCCTGATTCTTGGAAGACTCAGACAAACATGTCCCTCTTCACCTTTCCGATAGTGGTTTTCCACAAGTCTCCTCCCATTTTCACCTATTTCATCGAATTTATTCATCTTTACAAAGAGTCAACTTTTGGCTTCGTTGATCCTCTCAGTTAAATATTTGTTTCTATTTTATAGTTCCTGCTCTTACCACTTATTTGCTTTCTTTCAAAATAAAGCTTTTGAACTTTGTTTTACTGTTCTTTTTCAATATTCTTTAAATGGGTGCCTAATTCACTAAACTTTTTTTGTTTTTGAGACACCGTTTCACTCTTGTTGCCAATCTGGAGTGCAACAGCACTATCTAGGCTCACGGCAACTTCCGCCTCCTGGGTTCAAGTGATTTTCCTGCCTCAGCCTCCCAAGGAACTGGGATTACAGGCATGTGCCACCATGCCTGGCTAATTTTCTATTTTTAGTAGAGACGGGGTTTCTCCATGTTGGTGAATCTGGTCTCGAACTCCCAACCTTGGGTGATCCGCTGGCCTTAGCCTCCCAAAATCCTGGGATCACAGGCATGAGCCACCACACCTGGCCTAATTCACTAAACTTTATGCTTCCTTCATTCTGCATCTGTTTAGAGGCTACAAATGTTCGTTTAATCGTTGCTTTAACTGTACTCCACATTATTGTGTATTATTTTCACTTTGTTTTGTTCAAAATGTTTTCTAATTTTGATTATGACTTATTTTTTGACCTGAGTTGTTTAAAAACAGAGGCAGTTATCCTTTGGTGATCTATTCTTTACATAATGATTTTTTTTTTTTTTTTTTTTTTTTTTTTTTTAGATGGAGTCTCCCTCTGTAACCCAGTGGCATGATCTCACTGCAACCCCCACCTCTCAGGTCCTGGTTCAAGCAGTTCTCCTGCCTCAGCCTCCCAAGTAGCTGGGATTACAGGCATGAGCCATCATGCCCAGCTAATTTTTGTATTTTTTAGTAGAGACGGGGTTTCACCATGTTGGCAACTCTGGTCTTGGACTCTTGACCTTGTGATTCGCCCACCTCCGCCTCCCAAAGTTCTGGGATTACAGGCATGAGCCACCGTGCCCAGCCCACATAATGATATTATACTCAGAGAAAATGTTTTATATGGTTTCAGTCTTTTGAAAATACAGGGACTTGCTTTATGGCCTAGTGTGTGGTCAATTTCTGTAAATGTCCTTGTGTATCTGAAAATAATTTGTCTTCCACCACTGTTGGGTCTGGTGTTACATGTGTATATATTGGCCAAATTGTTAACTGTCATATTCAAGTCTTCTCTATCATTATAAATTTTTTTATACTTATCATCTCCTGAGAGATGTATATATTCTTAGTTATGTCAACTTTTAAAAATACATTCACAGCTCTAATGTAGAAGTTGCAAAAGACGCATAAAAGTTTTAAATTGTTATATTCTCCTAGTTAACTGGAACTTAATAAGAAACCCCCTCCAAGTTCATCCATGTCGTTACAAATGACAGACTTTCCTTCTCTGGTTCAAGCAGTTCTCCTGCCTTTTAAGGCTCTATAGTATTCTATTGTGCGTATATACCGCTTTGTACCATGTCATCTTTATCCACTTATTCGTTAATGCACATTTAGGTTGATTCTGTAAGTTGGCTATTGTGAATAATGCTGCAGTGAACATGGCAGTGCAGACATCTTTTCCACATACCTAGTTCAAATATTTTGGATAAATACCCACAAGTGGAATCTCTGCTTATATTTAGTCTATTTTTAGTTTTTTTGAGAAACCTCCAAAAAGGCAGGGACAGAAAGACAAAGACTGCATGTCTTCCCTTACAGGTGGAATCTGAATCACTTGGATTCCTAGAAGCAGAATGGAATAGGATGGTGATTACTAGAGGCTGGGTTGGGGGACTTGAGGAGATGTTGGTCAAAGGGTACCAAGTTTCAGATGGGAGGAGTAAGGTTTTCCTTGGGGATCTGTTACACAGCATGGTGAATATGGTTAATAAGTGTACTGAGCATTTCAAATTTGCTCGGGTGGTACATTTTAAATGCTCTAACTACAAAAAAGGAAAGCATTTGAGGGAATGGATATGCTAATTAGTTTGATTTGTGATAACTATATTGTATTCATAAATCATAACATCACTTTGTGTACCACAAATATATACAATTATAATTTGTCAATTTACAATAAAATAAAATTCTTAAAAAGAAAACATAGAAAAGCACCGGGCGCAGTGACTCACACCTATAATCCCAGCACTTTGGGAGGCCGAGGCGTGCAGATCATCTGAGGTTGGGAGTTCGAGACCAGCCTGGCCAACATGGAGAAAGCCTGGCTCTACTAAAAATGCAAAATTAGCTGGGCATGGTGGCACACGCCTGTAATCCCAGCTACTGGGGAGACTGAGGCAGGAGAATTGCTTAAACTGGGGAGGCAAAGGTTGCAGTAAGCCGAGATCGTGCCATTGCACTCCAGCCTGGGCAATAAGAGTGAAACTCTATCTCAAAACAAAACAAAAAAAAGCACCCTGTCTTACCAGTTTTGGGGGTGGGTTGCCATAAGATCTATTTTGCTTACTATTAATAGGTATCTTCTGGTTAGTGTTCGGATGGTTTATCTTTTTCTATTCTTTTTACTTTCAACCTTTCTGGATCCTGTATATATTAGATGGTTTTAAAAAATAGTTACTGCAGCCAGGTGTGGTGGATCACACTTGTAATTCCAGCACTTTGGGAAACCAAGGTGGATGGATCACCTGACATCAGGAGTTTGAGACCACCCTGGCCAACATGATGAAACTTTGTCTCTACTGAAAAGAAATATAAGAAATAGCTGGGCATGGTGGTTCATGAATGTAGCCCCAGCTACTCTGGAGGCTGAGGCAGAATTGCTTGAACCTGGGAGGCAGAGGTTGCAGTGAGCCAAGATCATGCCATCGCAATTCAGCCTGAGCAACAGAGTTAGACTCCGTCTCAAAAATAAATAAATAAAATAAAAATAAACAGCTTATAATTATTTTCTTTTAGTAATTTCTCTCTAAAATCATTGACGTTTTGCTGAAACCTTTAGCATATTAATGTGAATTATAATTGGTGTTTAATTTGGATTCATTTCTACCATATTATTTGTGCTTTTTGTTTTCTGAGACAGTGTCCCTCTATTGCCAGGCTGGAGTTCACATGATTTCTGCTCACGTCAACTTCTGCCTCCTAGGTTCAAGTGATTCTCCTGCCTCCACCTCCCTCCAGGTGTGTGCCACCATGACCAGCTATGTTTTGTATTTTTAGTAGAGACGGGGTTTCACCATGTTGGCCAGGATGGTCTCGATCTCCTGACCTTGAGATGAGCCTGCCTCGGCCTCCCAAGGTACTGGGATTACAGGTGTCAGCCACCGTGCCTGGCCATTATTTGTGCTTTTTATTTGTTCATCTTCTTTTTTCATTGTTATTTACTTTTCTCTCTTTCTTGTCTTCTTGCATTGATTGAATACTTTTTCCATTCTATTTATTTGTTGAATTTCAATTTTTGGGGGGGTACAGGTGGTTTTTGGTTACATGGATAAGTTTTTTAGTGGTGGTTTCGGAGATTCTACTGCACCTGTCACCTGAGCAGTGAACACTGTACCCAATATGCAGACTATTATCCCTCACCACCCCCAACCTTCTCCTCACAAGTCCCCTGAAGTCCATTATGTCATTCTTATGCCTCTGCGTCCTCATAGCCTAGCTCCCACTTATAAGTAAGAACATAATGATATTTGGTTTTCCATTCCTGAGTTACTTCACTTAGAATAATGGCCTTCCCCTCCGTCCAAGTTGCTACAAAAGACATTATTTCATTCCTTTTTATGGCTGAGTAGTATTCCATTGTGTATATACACCACATTTTCTTTATCCCTTCATTGATCGATGGGCACTTAGACTGGTTTCATATCTTTGTGACTGCCAGTTGCGCTGCTATAAACACACATGTGCATCTGTCTGTTTCATATAGTGACTTCTTTTCCTTGGAGTAGATACCCAGTAGTGAGATTGCCTGATCGAATGGTCTATTTCTTTGGAAACAATTGTAGCAGTTATGCATACTTCTTTTTTATTGGTTTATTCATTCCTCTTTTTAAAAATATTGACAACCAACTATATTCCAGGCACTGTCATGGGTGCTTGGGAAAAGACTAATATGCAAAGTAGGAAAGTCCTGGCCAGGTGTGGTGGCTCACGCCTGTAATCCCAGCCACTTTGGGATCACCTGAGGTCGGGAGTTCGAGACCAGACTGGTCAACATGCAAAACCTGGTCTCTACTAAAAATGTGAAAATTAACCGGGCATGGTGGCTGGTGCCTATAATTTCAGCTTCTCAGGAGGCTGAGACCGGAGAATCGCTTGAACCTGGGAAGCAGAGGTTTCAGTGAGCCAAGATCATGTCATTGCACTCCAGCTTGGACAAGAGCAAAACTCCGTCTCAAAAAAAAAAGAAAAAAGAAATGATTTCTATTCCTGTTAATCTCATATTTGTGTGTGTGTGTGTGTATGCATATGTGTGTGTGAAAATAAGAAATAGATATACTAAGGAAATTAAGTAGCATTCTAGAAAGTGATAAATGCTAGGAAAAAGAGAAAAACAGAGCAGAGTGATGAAGCTGGGAGCGCAGGACCACAGGGTTAGAGAAGGAACTGCAGTACTCATGTGGGTGGGTCTTACAGAGAAAGCCACATAGCGGATATGGAGGGCAGCAGGGATTTAGCCAAGTAGACCTCTGAGAGAAGAGCATGTAGGGCGGCAGAAACTTCCAGTACAATCTTCTAAAGCAGCGGGAATGGCCAGGAAGCCAGTGGAGAGCACGGGAGATGACGTCAGAATGTTGACAAGAACAAGGGCAGGAGGGCAGGGCAGGAGATGTGAGGGGTGAGGGGCCTCCTTAAGGACCATTGTAAAGACTCCAGCTTTTACTCCGGATGAAATGGGAAGGCATCTCAGAATTTTTTTAGCAGAGAACTGATATGATCTGACTTAACATTTTAAAAAGATAACCCTGGATGCTGTAAGAAAAATAATCTTGAGGGCCAGTGATAGAAATGGGGGGACAGAAGCCAGTGATCGAGGTGAGGAGTGACAGCAGCTCACAGCTGCACCTTGGCAGTGTTAAGTGGTAAACAGCTCTGGAGAGCATTTTTGGAGTCACCGCACTTCCTGATGGGTTGAGAAAGAGGTGTTTGGATTGAGCAACTGGAGATTTGATGACATTGCCACCAAATGAGATGAAAAGGCGTTCAAGCGCAACAAAGTTTGCTTTTATTTATTTATTTTTGTTTGTTTGTTGTTGCTAGTCTTTTGAAGGGGAAGGACAGGTTTAAAACGTGTAAATTTGAATTGTCCAACAGACATCCAAGTGGTGATGCCAAGTAAGTAGTGCAATATGTGAGTTTGGTGTTTAGGGCAGAGGTCTGCCCTGAAGATAGACATTCTGAAGCCTCTGGCATAGAGATAGCGTATAGCAGTCACCCCAAATATTCCACTTACCCAAGTCTAAAGTGAATCAGTATCTTCACAGTTTTCCTAAATGATATGAGGAGTTGGAACACTATCACTTTGATTTCTCTTGTGTATTGCATTTTTGTTCCTCTTTGCTTTTGTTTAACCCTGCAGGACTTGTTGACATTATTTCGTACAGTCAGTGCTGACGTAAATCCGCCCTTTCTCAGCTATCATTCTCTCATCTCAGAGCTGCATTTACACTCACTTTCCTTTTCATGAAATACGTCTGTTACAATTTTTTTTTTTTAATTTTTTATTGGATTATAGGTTTTGGGGTACATGAGCAGAGCATGCAATACAGTTG